CTGGACAGTCGCCGTTTTCGAAAGCCAAGTAAAATTTATACTGGTTGAGGGCTGGGCAGTCTACAGCGAAGTGTCCCGGGCATTGTAGCTTTCCACAGCCCCCGTAGGTGTCCAATTCAAGGTGCTTCTCGAGTTCATACACATATTCCCACCTGCCGTTCTGACCCCCACAGTTCGACCCCATGATAGCTGCCAGCTTCGATTTTGTGCTAAAATAATCGATGGTGTTATTTGGTCGTTCGCCCTCTGCTAGCTTGAGAGTCCTTCCGTAAGGCACTGGGATGTCACTGTCCATCCTGTAGTTCATGGACCAGTTAAAGTACCCGTTGTAGTGACTAATGTCTTTGTCTTCGGCGATCATGAAGGTGTGAAAGGGGTTTTCGTCAGTGAGCCAGATCCAGCGCTGTGAGGCCCTGGTTCGGTTGGGGAAGTCTTGTGGCCCCGGAGTCGTGTGGAGGGGGAACACGACGGCGTCGGCGATTCTGACGTCCTCGTCCTCGTACGTTAACTTGCAGTTCCTGAGAGTGCACCGCGCAAAGGGGTCCTTCCTCTCGGACGTGAACTCATACACAGTGCGTTGTTCCATATATAATCCCTTTTTCCATATGAGGATTAAAAATGTTCTATCTTGAGGGGCACCAAGGGGTTCCTCTAGGTATAAATACCTTCCCAGCACGGACAGGCTTCCCAGTTCTTCAGCGGTCAAGTTCCTCCAATCCTTCGTGGTCGCATTTTGTGCCCTTTTGGTGAGGGTTTCCGTCTCCATAGCCTCCCTTGACACGTGGCAGGAGCAGACCTCTTCCTTTGCCCTGTTTATTCTCACCATGCCGATTATGTCCTCCTTTTCGCCTAAAAGGAAGTGCAAGGCACACCCGAGGCAAAACACCAAAAGCACAACCTTCCTCAGGGTCCACGATACGTGGTTCCTCAACAGAACCCCCATCTCGAAGGCAATCTGCAATAGATGATATTACCTGAAATAGAATATGAAATATTTTTGTCATTAGAATGAATCATACTTATTCTTTGAACAGTACAACTCTGGCAGCTCTTTCGGTTTGTAAAGTGGTACCACTTCTGCTCCATGCCCGCTACAATACTCTTCCATCTTGTTTCTGTATCTTTCTAAAGATGCATATATGTAATATATACATGCATGCACACACACACCAATATATCTATCAATTTATAGATAGATATATAGATGGATGAATGGATGGATAAATAAGTTTATTCGCACATAAATATGCTTACAAGTAAGTATCATATATGTATATATGTGTTTGTGTGTGCTGCATTGATAAGGATAAATAACAGCCCTCACTGACCAGGACTCGAACCTGAGTCACTCTAGGTATGACCCAGAGGACCAGTGCTTAACCAACCATACCGCAAACTTCGCTATCATTACTCTAGTATGAGTAGATAGGTAATAACAATGGAGCTAGTGAGATCCTAGCTGCACATCCCTTTTATAGGTTCATATGCTATGCTCGGTTTACCACTGGTCCTCCAGGTCATACTTGGGAGTGGACCATGATTTAAATTCTGGTCAATGAGGGTTGTTATCTATCCACATCAATGCTCCAGTGTATTATTCAATCCTTCATAAATATACCCAAGGGATCTAACTTAGGATTTGAATCCCTGAATTAATATCCACCGAGTGCTCTCAGGGAGTGTGTGTAAAACTTTGCTATCATTAATCTGGCATGAGTAAAAAGGTAATGTCTATGGAGCTAGTGCAACCCCTGTTGGACACTCCTTTTAGTGGGTCGTGTGGTATGTTTGATTAGCACTGGTTATACCTGGAGTGGCCCAGGTTCGAGTCCTGGTCTGGGAGAGTTGTTACAATATATATATATATATATTATATATATATGTAAATATATATATGAAAATATATATATTATTATATATATGTATGTATATATACATATATATGTATTGTATGTATGTATACATACGTATATGATTATATATATTATGTATATATACATAATATGTATATATTGCATAAATATACACATATCTACATAATTGTATCAGTTCATCCCTCATTGCAGCAGGATAAGCAATGAAGGAGATTCTACAAATGTTGCCCAAGCAGATGGTGATGATGTTCATGATGCAGCAACGACAGCCTCAACATGCAGTGGGCCTTGGGAACGGTCAAGTGATAGCCGATGGTTCATAATTGTTGAAATGTCTTGTATGTTGACGTGTGTTGCCACTGACATTCGTTATGCAAAAACTGCAGGATACACATGTCATGACATCCCTAACATTGCGAATACCTCTATAGGAGGACTTGGTATTTACATAAAGAATGCTATTCCATCAAAAGTGATCGGTGACAAACGTGACAATACATGTGCTGAATATCTTGGTGTTGAAATATTCCCTGATAGGAAAACCATCACCATCATTAATGTATATAACCCACACGATAGTGAACCAGTACCTAAAACCCATGACAGTATGATACATATTGCTTACTGTCTTACTCTTTGGGAATTTTAATCCTCGTTATCCTCTCTTGGGCTCTGAGGGAAGCACCTTGGGTAAAAACGTTTAAATTGACCATTTTCGAAGCACTAGTGATCCCATACACCTATTATGCCCCGTAGAAAAGGCAAATTAGATTATATAGCTCTATACAATCAGCATGAGAGAGCCTGTGTCAGGTTGAAGACCTTCCCTCCCGGTATCTCTTAGGTATATACTACTGTCGCATGTTCCCATCTTAAATTAATGATCAATTATCACTAAAGAGTACTTACTGCTAATTGTCTTTCAGTCTGGGCGGAAAGTGACTAATATCACCAATAAATAAATCTTTACACAGTACCATGTGGTTCATGCTGAATTGAGATAAGTTTTATGAACTAGAAAAAGAAAACGACTAAAATATTCTATAAAAAGGAAACTGGACTAAAATATTCTATAAAAAGAAAACTAAACTGGACTAAAATATTTTATATATTGGTGGTACTGACAAGAAAAAAAATATATATATATATATATATATATATATATATATTATATATATGTGTGTGTGTGTGTGTGTGTGTGTGGTGTGTGTGGTGTGTGTGATGAATACATGTATATAATATATATTAAATATATATTATATTATATATATATATATATATATATATATATAATATATAATATAAGTATATATATAGTATATATATAATATATAATATATGTGTGTGTGTGTTGTGTGGTGTGTGGTGTGTGTGTGTGTACACACATACACACGCACACATACACACACATATATGTGGTGTGTGCGTGTGTAGGTGTAGGTGTGGTGTGTGTGTGTGTAGTTGTACGTGTGCTTGTGCGTGTGTGTAGTTGTAGTGTGTGTATAAACACACACATATATTAATTGTAATATATATATATATATATATTATATATATAATTATATATATAATATATATATATAAGTGTGTGTGTGTGTGTGTGTGTGTTGTGTGTGTGTGTGTGTGTGTGTGTGTGTGTGTGTTGTGTGTGTGTGTGTGTGTGTGTATATGTGTATATGTATATACATATATTATTCATATAATATATATATATATATATATATATATATATAATAATATACATATAATAGATATACATATTTGTGTGTATGTATATATATATATATATGTACATTTGCACACACACACACACACACACACACAACACATTGTGTGTGAGTAAATACATGTATATATATACATAATAAATTTAGATGTATATACACGATATGTATATATGTATATAAATACAATACACATGCGTACAATATTATATATATATATATATATATATATATATATATATATTATACACACGCATATATGCATACATATGTATATATATATATATAGTATATATATATATATTATATACTATATATATATATTTACATATATATGCATATATTATACATATATATATATAACAGGACACATATACCATACATATATAAAATTATATATATATAATATTATATATAATATATATATTATATATATATTATATATATATATATTATATATATATATATTTCAGATGGTAATTTGCACCCCGCCCCTGTAACATGCTTATCCACCCTCACCGCAGTATTACGGAATTCTATCCTGGACTCACGTTCTGGATAACTATTCCCCAAGTTCCATAAACGACAAGTAGCCCCGCCTCCCCTCAGCCTCAACCGTCACGTGACAGGCGGTCCCTTGGGCAAGAGGACGCTGGGGTGAATGATTCCTTTCTGTCTCGAGTCTTATGGCTGTTTAAGGGACGGACTACTTCATTACAGGGACGTTTCCGTTTTATTCGAGGTCATTGCAACAATATCGAGGAAATTATTCGAGGGATTATGTATCTGCAGTAGCTGTATCATGTATCCCGTGGCGCACCTTCACTGACTAACAGCGGTGACGTCATTGGCTCCGCCCCCTTCTCGCTGGTGGTATTGCTCAATTAAATTTCTTTATTTGGATGTAAGAATAGTCTATGAAGAGAGATATTTTTTCGACCGGTTAATTGCGTAATAAATTTACGTGATCTTCACAACCTATGGGAACGAAAGAGCTTGTACTCAGCATAGAAAAACTTTTTTATCTTGAACTTAAAACATAACAACACGCGGTGCTGGACTTTACCCAAAAAATATTCTAAATTTTCGTGTTGAAAATGTTGCTCATCAAGACAACATCGGCGAATCGATATGGACCGACTTTCCTCTGGCTGTGAAATTATTTTGACCTCACCACACACCACAAAGTTTGATCTTCCAGCCCAGTTCAACATATCACTTACGTTTATTCATACAAAATCAGCACTGCAAACCGGTCACATGCCAAATCATACGTACACGCCCATCTGAAGTGCTCGAATGCACGATTCACTTCAGCTAAGTCACCTCACGGGCACAGCAGACGAAATGGGCACGAAAGCACGAGGACGCGACGGCGGAGAGTACGTACGCACACTGTCGA